TTTCTCAAGTCCCTGAGTCTGTCAACTGTCTCTCCCCTGGTGTTGCTTCTTTTCCCTGTTCCTCTCCCAATATTTCCCAGCTTCTCCCCTCTGCAGCCTCTGAACTGTGACCTTCTGCAAACCACTGTTCTAAATCTATACTGTCTCTCCCTCTTCTCTGGGAAGTGCAGGAGGAGGGGAGGGCAGTCTCCACCATTCCTCCTCAGTCCAGTCCCTGACAGGGGTTGAACTTGGGACCTTCTGCATGCAAGCGTTGTGGTAGTGGGGCTGTGCCCACTGAGCCATGGCCCTGAACGGCGGGCGCTGCCAACTCTCCCAAGCCGCCTACATCGCTGGGTGAGGCAGCTGCAGGCTCCTCTCAGCCACCTGCTGTGTTTGCTATTGTCTGTCATTTGGACATTTTACATGTAGTGCCCAAGTTACTTAGGGCTTTGTGAATGAATTAACATGAGAGCTTTGAACCTGTCCCAGCGGCATGCTGGCAACCAATATAGCCCTGGGACATCCTCTCCTGGGAGCAACCTGCCTGCCGCAGTCTGCGGAAGTCAAAGCTTCCAGACCAGTTCCACTTTACACATTCACCCAACTGGTGAGGGCCTAGCAAGGATTTGGCTGACTTAACTGCTGCCTTTGGGGTCTTCCTTCCCTCCCCCAACCTGGTTGCTTGGTGCCTGAGAATCCCTTGAGGTTCATTCCACAGCTTTTCTGGCAACAGTTAGTTCACATATACGCAAATATGGCTGACACCACAACGAACCAGACCATTTGTAGTCCCACCACTTCAGCAGAGCAGAGACGGCAACAGAGTCGGATGTTGAAACCATTTCTCAATAAGGCCACCGAGACTAATGCATAGCATCAATTTAGCAGCTCACCTGCGGAAGGCCGTAGTAGGTGAAGACTCTTGCTGTCAGCTGCGTCATTTCGGCTGAGTCGGGACCCACCACACCAATGACTCTCTGGGAACAGCCTCCTTGGTGCGAGCGGCACCACTGGTGTGGGGAGAGCTGGAAGGCGGCTTGCAGGTGAAGGCTTTCTTGACAGGTGTCCCATATGTGGTATCCCAAGGTGATGTTGGGGAGCAAAGTAGAAGAATTGTTGATTTCCTCAACAGCCAGCCTCATGGCTTGAAATTGAGCATAGCCCGAAGGGTTTAGACTGAGGAAATAAACGTGGAGCTCAATTAAGCCTGTAGAAATGGTACCTCAACACACACACATTTTGTGGGAATTTGTAACCCTACCAGAGAAGAATGGCAGATCAAGTTGATGGGTTATGCCGAAAGGGCTAAAATGACCGGAAGAATCAGAAATCAGGAAGACCAAAACTTTAATAAGGAATGGGGGAAATTTATAATTTATCTTAAAAACCATTGCAAACAGTTAAAATCATTAGTAGGATTGGAATAACACATGTAGTTTAGCGGTGAATTTTGGAAACAATGGAGAGGTAAAAGATTTGGATTATTATAAAAGATGCAGGAGGAAATGATTAACAATAAGACCCACAAAGGGGAGGAGGGAAGTTCCAGAGATTCTTTGGAATCTTGTTTCAGTGTTGTATGTTGGATATGTGACTGTAAAATTTTAATCTGAAAAACCAAATAAATTTATATATAAAAAAGTAGTTATTATTATTATAATTAATTTGATTTATATACTGCCCCTTATGCAAAGATCCCAGGGCAGTGTACAACATTAAGGACATAGTTTATGGAGCATAATGATAAAAAACATAATATGGAGCACAATTAAATAATCATAATAACAGTCCCACCCCCCAGCCCCCAGCCCAACACACATTTAACAGGCCATAGATTATTTAACGGCCAATGGCCTGAATAGAGGAATATTTTCGCCTGGCAAGCTCTCTGTGGAGAGCAGTCCACAGACAGGGAGCCACCACAGAAAAGGCCCGTTCTCGTCTTGCCACCCTCCAAGCCCTCTCATGGAGTGAGGGTATAGAGAAGGGCCTCAGATGACAAGTGCACATTCCAGCTGGGTTCATCTGAGGAGAGGCGGTCCTTCGAGGTGTGGAGGTCCCAAGCCGTGCAAGGGTTTGTAGGTCAAAACTAGTTATAAACAGACTCCAAGTTTACTTGCTAGCAGGCAGAGAGGGAGGGTGGCTGCAGAAGAGGTCTCCTAAAATGGGGAGAGGCATGCCCAGGGCAGCTAGAGAGGGATGGAGGGCCAATTGTGGCCCACAGTCTCGAGGTTGCACTCCCCCAGATTCCTGGCCTCCCAGCTCTGTGATGGTCCAAGGAAAAAAGAGTGTGCACAACTGCTAGAGAAAGACGCTGTGTGCTGCGCCACAGTCCTATCTGAGAGCTTCCTGCTCTGAGCAGAGAAGGCTGGGCTAAGTGGGCGCCTTTTGGTCTGACCCAGCCAGAAGCCAGGCCCTCTTTTGTGTTCCTCAGCACCCTTTGCAGCCTCCTCATTGCTGCCCCCACAACCAGGTGCCCACCAGCTGGCCAAAGACAGAGGAAGAGTCAAAGGGGGTGAAGCATGCTGAGGAAACAGCCCTGATTTCTGCTTCAGGGATGGGAGAAGAAAGAGGAGCCCCATCCCCACAACACAACACAAAAAACCCCAGCCCTCTCACCTCTCGCAGGAAGGCAGCTGAAGTGGGCGAGCCCTGTTCCGCTCAGTGCTATTGCTATGGACTGGGTAGAGACCCCCGATGATGAAGTCCCCTGGCAGGTTAAAGAGGGCCTGGCAAGAGCTGTTGGCAGCAGCCATGTGCCCCACCAGGAAGGCAGCCAGGACAAGCCCCACAGACATGATGGAGAGAAAAAGCAGCTCGCTGCCTCTCCCTCCTCGGGGCAGGCCGGTGGCATGGGGCGGGCAGGGGCTTGGAGGAGGCTCACACGCTTCTGCCGACACCTGGCTTTGCCACTGCTACCTGCCCCTCTCTGCACGTCGCCCACGGGTGCCTCTTCTCCTGCTCTTCGGAGGAGGAGGCCCATTTGCTTGCTTAGAAAGTGTTTTACATGCAGCTGAGACTGCTTTGCTTAATGGTGCCAGCTGGGAGTGGGAGTGGTGAGGAAGGGGCGGGAGGCCCAACCAACCCAACCTCTCGGAGGGAGAGGGGCAGGCAGGCATGTTGGTTATATCCAAGGCAACATGATGACCAAGTACAACAATGCAAAATAATAATAATAATAATAATAATAATAATAATAATAGTAGTAGTAGTAGTAGTAGTAGTGGTAGTAGTAGTAGTAATTTATTTATACCCCACACATCTGGCTGAGTTTCCCCAGCCACTCTGGGCGGGTCCCAATTGAGTGTTAAAAACAATACAGCATTAAATATTAAAAACTTCCCTAAACAGGGCTGCCTTCAGATGTCTTTAGGATAGCTGCTTATTTCCTTCACATCTGAAGGGAGGGTGTTCCACAGGGTGGGTGCCACTACCGAGAAGGCCCTCTGTCTGGTTCCCTGTAACCTCACTTCTCGCAATGAGGGAACCGCCAGAAGACCTTCGGCACTGGATCTCAGTGTCCGGGCTGAATGATGGGGGTGGAGATGCTCCTTCAGGTATACAGGACCGAGGCCGTTTAGGGCTTTAAAGGTCAGCACCAATACTTTGAATTGTGCTTGGAAACGTACTGGGAGCCAATGCAGATCTCTCAGGACCAGTGTTATGTGGTCCCGGCCATTCTGAGAGAGTACTGCAGGGAATACATAGATGGTTGAGACATTTTTCATGTTGACTACACACAAATGACTTCTAGGCTTAATTTTCATATTCACTATTTATAGATGTTTAAGAGAAAGAAAGCAGCTTTGGATCAATGCAGTTAGTTGCGTGCCTAAAATCCAGAAGGGACGCCTCAATTGTTTGAGATGCCATCCAACATAAAAACAGACACACACTTGTCCACAGCAGGGGTACGACTGCCCCCCCCCCAAAATGAAGGAAAACATGCAAAAACCAACAAAAACACAATTCTTCCACGCACCCTAACTTGAACTTAAGGATTTTAATAGCATGCATAACACCTGAGTTGAATTGATGCTGAATCGAGTCTACTTTTGGCTAAGTGTTCCAAAGCATTGATTTATCCTATAACAAAATTTATATACCACTTGGTTGTTTAAAAAAACCCTAGCAGCAAACCTGTAAATTATTTACAAAAACAGTCAAATGCCTTGTCCTAGGGGCACCTTACAGTGGGTATACCCCTTCGTAGATCACCCCTACTGAACTTCAGGGTCAGTTTGAAAACACCAACAGAGAGTTTTGTAAAATAATTCTGCTGCCCTGGGTAGATGGTCCTGAAGTGTGAAGGAACAGCCCCCTCCCCAGATTCTCCTGCAGTTTGACTTTACTCCTCTTCACCCTCCTGCTTCCTACTGTACCAGGAATGGGGACCTGCCCAATATTGTGTGAGCCCCCAGTTTCCATCAGCCCCAGCAGACCATGTGGCCAAGAGTCAGGGAGGATGAGGACGACAAGCATAACTCCAGCTGCATCTAGAGGGCCCCCCCCAAGGCTTCCCTATCCCTGCCCTGATTCTGGAAAGAGGGTGTCTTGGGCGTTTGATCTTGCCTTCTGATGGTGGTGGAGGGAAGAGGAGCAGCTATCACTTTCTTACGTAGGATCCCTAATAAAGATTACACAGACAAGCGGCAGAGAGAGTTGCTTATGTGTGGACCAGTGCTCTTTGGCAGTAGCCAAGCAGCACCATCGACAATCCTGTTTTCATTGAACCTCTGCCCTAAAATCCATTGAAATTCTACACCGAATTCTCAGAAGCTTGGAATATATCAATGCAGCCTCGCTCTGTAGTTTCTGCTATTTGGCCCTCGGGTGCACAGACGTTCTCTGATTCCGAGCACCCGCCCTATGTTTACAACACAGGTGAAGTGTGCAGCCCCTGTCTCCAGGCTCCCCTGTTTCTTGTTGTAGCAGAAGTTTTCCCACGGTCCTTCCGGGCTTTCTCCTGTGGGAGAAGCGGGTGCTTCAGCCTTTTCCCCCACCCCAAGGAAGGCTTCTCACTGCTCGGCGTTTCTGACTGTGGCCGTGTAGGCTTGGATACAGGTCTGGAAATGGGCCACCGTGTTGAACTGCGGCCGGAAGAGGATCAGGTAGCATTTGGGCAGGAAGAAGGTGCAGAGGATGGCGTAGACGCTGGTCTGCACCGTGAACATCTGCAAGGCAGGGATCCCTTTGCCCTTCCCTTCGGTGGTGATGTAGATGAGCATGAAGCAGCCCCAGCCCATGAGGAAGACCAGCATGCTGGTGGTGAGGAGCCTCGCCTCGCTGTAATTCTTGGGCAGGTTGCGGCCCCAGAAGGCGAAGGCGAAGCAAGCGCCGCCCAGCAGGGTGATGTAGCCCAGCACCCCTCCTAGCCCCATGAAGTGGCCTTCTGAACATTGCAGGTAGACCTCCCTCTCGCTCACAAAATCCTCTTGCAATGTAGGCGGGGAGAAGCGGAGCCAGAGGAGGCAGATGAGGGCCTGCAGGCCACAGCTGAGGCCGACCGAGACGTAGGTGCCTTTGTACTTGACCCAGCACTTGGCGGCTCCGGGGGGCAGCTTGCAGGCCATTTTGAAGATGAAGATGATCTGGAAGGAGCGGACCAGGAGGCAGGAGACGCAGACGGTGAAGCTGATGGCGAACAAGGGCTGCCGGATCAGGCAGGTGACCTCAGTGGGCTTCCCGACGAACAGGCTGGTGGTGGTGCAGGAAGCCAGCAGCGAGGCCAGCATGACGAAAGCCAGCTTGCCCCCGGCCGCTTTGACCACTGGCGTTTGACGGTGGAGGGCAAAAACCAGCAAGCAGCCAAAGAGCAGGAAGAAGTCGACGATGGCCAGGATCACCAGGGCCAAGATGGTGGTGGTGGTGATGTCGAGATACGTGATGAGCGGGGGGAAGCAGGTGCTGCTCTTCAGAGGGGACCACATCCCCGGGGGGCACGGGATGCAAGTGTCTCCACCTGAAGAGGAGGAAAGGAGAAGCTCAGTCAGCAGCAGGACTGCTTAGAAGTAGAAGAAAGTGCCTTACACCAAGGCAGGCACCGACTAGCTCAGTGCTGTTGTCTCTACATTGACTCTCCAGGACTTCCGTGCAGGGATCTCTCCCAGGCTAGGAAAGATATGTTGACAAGCTGGAACATGTGCAGAAAAGGGCAGCTCAGATGATCAAGGGTCTAGAAGCCAAGCCTTATGAGGAATGGTTGAAGAAGCTGGGTACAGTGGTACCTCGGGTTAAGAACTTAATTCGTTCTGGAGGTCTGTTCTTACCCTGAAACTGTTCTTAATCTGAAGCACCACTTTAGCTAATGGGGCCTCCCGCTGCCGCCGCGCCGCCGGAATGCGATTTCTGTTCTCATCCTGAAGCAAAGTTCTTAACCTGAGGTAATATTTCTGGGTTAAGCGGAGTCTGTAACCTGAAGCGTCTGTAACCTGAAGCGTATGTAACCAGAGGTACCACTGTATTGTTTAGCTAGAAAAGAGGAGACTGAGAGGAGATACAATGGTCATCCTCAAGTGTCCAAAGGGCTGTCACATGAGATTCCGACTAAGCATCAGGAAAAACTTTTGACAGGAAGAGCTGTTCGACCGTGGAACCATCTCCCATGGGAGGTTGTGGACTCTCCTTCCTTGGAGATTTTTAAGCAGAGGTTGGATGCCCATCTGCTTTAGCTGAGATTCCTGCATTGCAGGGGGTTGGACTAGATGACCCTTGGGGTCCCTTCCAGCTCTACAGTTCTGCTTTTGAGCCCTGCCTTCCCATTGTGGACAGTGAAAAAGGCTTTGGCCAAGCCTCAGTCTCTGTGCAAAGTCCGGCAGCAGCAGCAGCAGCAGCAGCAGCAGCAGCAGCAGCAGAAGAAATAATTAATTAATAATTATTTTTTAATCCCATGTTTCCCCCAGATGGTGTCTTATAGCTGGTGAGCTTTCTGGGGCTTTGCAGAGCCCCACACTCTGTGCAAAGCTCGGCATGGGCCTTTGCAAAGGTCGTGGAGTCACAGATAGAGACAATCGCTGGAGCCTGTGTTGCCATCTACAAAGAGCCCTTTGCCTGAGTCTCTGCTTGGGGGAGAGGGGAAAGGGGCAGAGGGTGAAGCTGTGTTGTGACTCAGAACAAAAACAATCCCTCCAGAGGACCCTCTGCCAGCTCATGAAGGGATAGAGGCAAAAGTGAACAGCAGTGGTCCTTTGCGCTCCTGTTCTAGACTGTTGTTCATTCGGAGGAATTGGCGCCATCACAAAAGACATGGTGAACGGGGATTTGAACCCAGAACCTTATCTGGCACTCTTAACTTCTACACCTTGGGACTCTTTCCTGCCTTAAGCCTCTGCCTACTTGGCACTGATGACCTCTGAGTCAAGGGAGGAAGCTAGAACTTGTCTAGCGCATAGCGGAGGCCAGTCTTCAGATTCACAAATGTGGCTCCCTGAGCCATGCGGTGTTTGAACTCACCTGTTTCGTTTTGATAGGTCCCTTCCAGGCAGTCGTCACAGCGACATAAACACTCGTCCAGCAATTGCTTGCTTCGGATTTGACCCACTTCACACACTGCTATGCAATATGATTTGGGGACCTAGAACAGGAGAGTTTGGTTAGGTGGAGGCATTTGAGTTGTTGGCGACTTGTGAAAGTCAGTCGGTAGTTCACCACACCGCACCCAGGGGTCATTAAAAAGGAATAACAAATCAGTCCGTCAATATCACAAGGCTTTTATGCAAATGTATGTTGAGAAAAATGTAGGATAATGTAGGATATTATATCAGAAAAATGTAGTGTACTGTTAAAACGGAAGGGGGTCAAACCATCACAAGGAGTGTTGAAATTTTGGGAGGTTGGATACTTACAATGGAATGGTCTCAGTGGTGGGGTACACATGTTTATTCTTATTTATTTATGATTATTACTTTGTCTAAATGAATGAAGATAAAAATGTAGGATATTGTAAAGCTGGAAAAGGTGTGAAGAGAGCAAGCTAAATTATCCAGGAGCTGCAGCAACGCCCTGGATAAGCAGCATGTGGAAGCAGCAATAGGAAGCTTCCCAGAAAGATCTCTTTGATCGCTATGAGAAACGGAATGCTGGAGCAGAAGGAGCCATTTGGGTCAGATCCAGATGGCTGCTCTTAGGTTCTTTTATGTCCAAGTAAGCCCCAATCTGTTCCCCAATCTGATGTCCTCCAGATGTTTGGAGTACAGCTCCCATCTTTTGTAAGATCTAGCTACTGACTCACGGTTGCGTGAATGAAAGGGTTAACCCGAGCTCAGGTTGCCAGTTGAGAAGGAGCTTAGCACCCCTTCTCTCTCTTTCCCCCTCTTTGTGCTTCCTGGAATAACTGAATCTCTCCAAAAAGGAGATTTTAAAGTCTGCGTCTTTGTTAACCTAAAGATTGCATGATTCTTTTCATACGGAAACCAAGTTCTTTTCTTTTTGGAGTCATCTGGAACCTTTTCTTTCTTATTTTTACTGCCAGTGGATAGAGACTTGTTTCTTGTAACTCCTGGAATCTCTGTGAGTAAAAGCTTCACTTATTTGGAAAGCTAAGTCCCTGTGATTTATTCTAGCCTGAGCATTTATGTGGGGAACATTTGTTTAAAGGTGGGCAGATGTAAATTGGAGCATCCGCCACTGTGCTTAGCTCTGCTATGAAGAGTAAGAATCTCTTCCAAACTTCTCTCTCCCAACATCTACCATCCCCATCCAGCATTGCCCGTGTTTTCCTTCTTTCTGGGTGTTTCGCCTGGTATCTTACCTGATCCCCTGGTGCTGGCCAACTGATTTCAGACTTGTTGATATTCAGGGCTTGGGAACTGTAGCTGCCGATCATCTTGAAAGTAGCCGTGCCATTTTCCCAGCTCCAGGTGACGACACTGTAGCCCAGGAACAGATCTCCCTCTTGGCCCAATGTGATGGTGTTGCCTTGCAGAGGAAAGTTCACCTTGTACAATGCTTCATAAAACTGAAATGAGAAGATAATTGCATCTTGGGGGTGCAGGGAGAGGGGTTTACTGTGCTTGTTGAAGGATGTGTGGGTAGCACAGCTAAACATTGGCCTGAGAGATGATGATCCCTGTTGTTTGCTTTATTTCAGCTGGAGGCAGGAGACAATGTCAGCCTTCTCCAGAGATTCACACTGAGCAGGATTTTCTAGAAAAATTATGTCAAGCATTCTGGGCATATTTAGTTAGAATTTAAATGCCAAGTTTCTTTCAATTACAATGCTACCTCGGGTTACAGATGCTTCGGGTTACAGACGCTTCAGGTTACAGACTCCGCTAACCCAGAAATATTACCTCGGGTTAAGAACTTTGCTTCAGGATGAGAACAGAAATCGTGCGGTGGCAGCGGGAGGCCCCATTAGCTAAAGTGGTACCTCAGGTTAAGAACGGTTTCAGGTTAAGAACGGATCTCCAGAACGAATTAAGTTCTTAACCCGAGGTACCACTGTACAACGATTTGCTGTTAAAATGCACGGTTCATGGCATTTATTTTTCATTTATTTAAATTAGTTAAAATTAATGAAAAGGTTAAAAGTGCCCTTTTGGCATTATCACTCTCTTGCTCCCCCATGAAAATTCCTTTTAAAAAAAAGAAAAGAAAGAATAAGCTCTGCTACAGACACTGCACCCACTCCTCTCCCGGGTGATGGGAGAGATCTGCTTCAAGTTTCTTCCCTTTCCTCCCACAACCTCAGGGCACCTGATCCTAAAGGCTGCTACTGCCTTTGACATCTGAATGCCACCTGCTTGCCTTGGGTTTCTGAGCCGAGTGAGCTGGGGAAGCTGCTCTGACCACAGCCATTGCTGCAGAGGCGCTAGCTGACACCTATCGGATGCTATTAAGTCACACCACCAATAGATAACAACAACAACAACAACAAATTTTATTTACAGTGAGGGGGGAAAGTATTTGATCCCCTGCTAAATTTGCCCGTTTAACTCTAGCTGAAGGTTTGAGTAGCTACGCATCAGCCTCAAAATCTTACTGACTTGGAGAGGATCTGCAAAGAGGAGTGGGATAAAATACCTCCTGAGATGCGTGCAAACCTGGTGGCCACCGACAAGAAACGTCTGACCTCTGCAATTGCCAACAAGGGTTTTGCCACCAAGTACTAAGTCATCTTTCGCAAAGGGATCAAATACTTATTCCACTCATTATAATGCACACCATTCTCTGACTTTTGTCTTCTGGGTTTCTGGGGTTTGTCCTGCTGTTATTCTGTCTTTCACAGCTACTATAAACCTACCATTAAAATTACGGACTGGTCATTTCTCTGTCAGAGGGCAAACGGGCAAATTTAGCAGGAGATCAAATACTTTTCGCCCCTCACTGTATATCCCGTCCTCCCCGGCCAGAGCTGGGCTCAGGGCGGCTAACACCAATAAAATTTCAGTAAAAACATAATAAGAAAAAGGGGAAAAAACAATTAAAAAATTAAAAATAATACAACTAGATATGTTGCACATGGACACAGGAGGGAGGCGAGTGGCAAATGCGCTTTAGTCCCTTGGTGCCTCAAGCCGACTTCCTCCAGGCATTGAGGGTAAAGGACAGACGCTTCCTAGCCTGCCTTTGAACAAAGGGAGATATGGAGCAGCCTGATCCCAAATATACCAGATGTTTGGGAAGGAGCAAAGGAGCTGAAAGGAAAAACCCTGGGGAGAGGATGCTATTTATCAAAACAGCAGCAGCAGTGGTGGCCTGCTCCCCTGAACGTAGCGCTTACCTCCATGGGAGCATATTCACCCAGTGCTTTTCAAGCTGCACTGGCTCCCGGTGGAGTACAGGGTCAGATTTAAGGTGCTGCTTTTGACCTTTAAAGCCCTTCACGGCCTAGGACCCTCGTACCTACGGGACCGCCTCTCCTGGTATGCGCCACGGAGAGCCTCAAGGTCCATAAATAGCAACACCCTAGTGGTCCCGGGCCCTAAGGAAGTTAGATTAGCTTCAACCAGAGCCAGGGCCTTTTCAACACTGGCTCCGGCCTGGTGGAACGCTCTGCCTCATGAGACCAGGGCCCTGCAGGATCTGATTTCTTTCCGCAGGGCCTGTAAGACAGAGTTGTTCCGCCTGGCCTTTGGCTTGGAACCAATTTGATTCCCTCCCTCCCTCTTTCTTTTTTCTTTTCCTTCTCCTCCTGCGATGAGGCTACATTTTAATGTTTCAATATTTTAATGTTGTATTTTAATGTTGTTTTTAAGTTGTAATCATTCAACTTGTTTTTATTATTGCTTGTAAGCCGCTCTGAGCCCGGCCTTGGCTGGGGAGGGCGGGGTATAAATAAAAATTATTATTATTATTATTATTACTACCTGTCGTGGCTTGAACTCCTTGCTTGCTGGACATCCTTGCAGGCTGCACCCCAGGTGGTTGTGGAGGGCCTCGGCCAGGATATAGACGGAAGCGTACGAATAGAAAGACCACTGCCAAACGGAACTGTTCAAAATGTTGGCTAAAGCGTCCGGAGAGAGCAGTTGGTTCTCATCGCAGGACTGGGAGCAAGCCTCCACCGTCGGGGCTTCAGAGAGCAAAGGGCCATCCGTCTTGTTTGACGGGGAGCGCTGTAGCGTTTTCCCAACAAAGTGTACAATTTGAGGCAGTTTGACTGGCTTGACGGTGAGTCCAAGCACGGTGCCTGTTTGCTCGATGTTCGGTATGGAAGCAATCGTGTCGGTTAAGATCCAGGACTCGGGTGCGATCCAGACTTTGCCTTTGATCTTCAGTTTGGTGACAGCGTGGAAGAACTTCCTGGTAATGGCCGCATTGGAAAGGACAACGACGACGTTGGTTCTGGCTTTCTCTATGTTCTCAATCACCCTCTGCAGCCGGCTTTCCAAGATGCGGAGATCGGCCGTCATCAGCCCCTGGTAGGAAATGCATATGCCCTTGGCTGCTGCCTTGGCAATCAAAGACTGAACTGTTTTCTCGCTGGCTTTGGTGCCACTGTCCACAGCGGAGATGTACTCCCAGCCGAAGGCCGAGATCAAGGAGATGAGCCCCGAGACCTGGTGGTCATTGCTGGGGATCGTACGGAAAAGCAGCGGAAAGAGCTTCTTGTCAGCAAAGATCTCTTCCTTGATACTGTATGAGACCTGGACAGGAGACAGGCACGTTTTTAAAAGCAGGAGGGCAATATGCAATGGTGTGTGCACAGCTCAGAGAGTGCCCAGAGCAGAGTGTGTTCTTACAGTGAGAGCCAGTGTGGTGTAGTGGTTAAAAGCGGTAGTCTCGTAATCTGGTGAACCGGGTTTGCGTCTCCGCTCCTCCACATGCAGCTGCTGGGTGACCTTGGGCCAGTCACACTTCTCTCTCAGCCCCACTCACCTCACAGAGTGTTTGTTGTGGGGAGGAAGGGAAAGGAGATTGTTAGCCGCTTTGAGACTCCTTAAAGGGAGTGAAAGGCGGGATATCAAATCCAAACTCTTCTTCTTCTCTTCTTCTCTTCTTACCAGGTGCAGATGGAGGAAGTGGGGGAGCTCTCATTTATCGCATCCATTAGTCACCTAATACTTGCGACCAAGTTTAAAAACATTAACAACTACAGCCCCAAGGTGAAAGACTTCTGGGAGAAGATTTATAACAAATTGAAAAAAATGTTGAAATATACATTTATTAAGAAACCAGAGGCCTTTCTTCTTGGAATAACAGGTTTGGAATTGCCCCAAAAAGATGTTAAATTATTTTTGTACGCCACAACTGCAGCAAGAATTTTGTTAGCGAAGAATTGGAAAACACAAGAAATACCAACAGTGGAAGATTGGCAGATGAAGATGATGGACTTTTAGAGCTGGCCAACCTGACTGGAAGAGTCTGCGACCAGAAGGAGGGGAGTATCAGGAAGAATGGATGAAATTTAAAGACTATTTAGCTAAATATGTTAAGATAACTTAATTGGAAAAGCTTGCAAATAAATAGATAGGCTTAGGATTCAAATATGTAAAGATAAGTTTTAAGATGTTTAAAGTTAAATTAGAAAGAATGAAAGATGTTAAGTGACCAAGTTAATTTTTGAAAAAATAGATTTTGGAAAACTGTTATAATGATATATAATGAAATTCAACCAAGGGGATTTGAGTCACTTAATAATGTTATCAAGATTTAAACAGGATGTATGTATGTCTGTTTGTCTGTTTTGAAATTTTGAAAATCAATAAAAAAAATTGAAAAAACAAAAACAAAAACATTAACAACTACAACATGAGCAACCACTGGCCATTAAACAACGTATTAATGACACCACAACGAACCTGACCATTTGTAGGCCCACCACTTCGGCAGAGCAGAGACGGCAACAGAGTCGGATGTTGAAACCATTTCTCAATAAGGCCACCGAGACTAATGCATAGCATCAATTTAGCAGCTCACCTGCGGAAGGCCGTAGTAGGTGAAGACTCTTGCTGTCAGCTGCGTCATTTCGGCTGAGTCGGGACCCACCACACCAATGACTCTCTGGGAACAGCCTCCTTGGTGCGAGCGGCACCACTGGTGTGGGGAGAGCTGGAAGGCGGCTTGCAGGTGAAGGCTTTCTTGACAGGTGTCCCATATGTGGTATCCCAAGGTGATGTTGGGGAGCAAAGTAGAAGAATTGTTGATTTCCTCAACAGCCAGCCTCATGGCTTGAAATTGAGCATAGCCCGAAGGGTTTAGACTGAGGAAATAAACGTGGAGCTCAATTAAGCCTGTAGAAATGGTACCTCAACACACACACATTTTGTGGGAATTTGTAACCCTACCAGAGAAGAATGGCAGATCAAGTTGATGGGTTATGCCGAAAGGGCTAAAATGACCGGAAGAATCAGAAATCAGGAAGACCAAAACTTTAATAAGGAATGGGGGAAATTTATAATTTATCTTAAAAACCATTGCAAACAGTTAAAATCATTAGTAGGATTGGAATAACACTTGTAGTTTAGCGGTGAATTTTGGAAACAATGGAGAGGTAAAAGATTTGGATTATTATAAAAGATGCAGGAGGAAATGATTAACAATAAGACCCACAAAGGGGAGGAGGGAAGTTCCAGAGATTCTTTGGAATCTTGTTTCAGTGTTGTATGTTGGATATGTGACTGTAAAATTTTAATCTGAAAAACCAAATAAATTTATATATAAAAAAGTAGTTATTATTATTATAATTAATTTGATTTATATACTGCCCCTTATGCAAAGATCCCAGGGCAGTGTACAACATTAAGGACATAGTTTATGGAGCATAATGATAAAAAACATAATATGGAGCACAATTAAATAATCATAATAACAGTCCCACCCCCCAGCCCCCAGCCCAACACACATTTAACAGGCCATAGATTATTTAACGGCCAATGGCCTGAATAGAGGAATATTTTCGCCTGGCAAGCTCTCTGTGGAGAGCAGTCCACAGACAGGGAGCCACCACAGAAAAGGCCCGTTCTCGTCTTGCCACCCTCCAAGCCCTCTCATGGAGTGAGGGTATAGAGAAGGGCCTCAGATGACAAGTGCACATTCCAGCTGGGTTCATCTGAGGAGAGGCGGTCCTTCGAGGTGTGGAGGTCCCAAGCCGTGCAAGGGTTTGTAGGTCAAAACTAGTTATAAACAGACTCCAAGTTTACTTGCTAGCAGGCAGAGAGGGAGGGTGGCTGCAGAAGAGGTCTCCTAAAACGGGGAGAGGCATGCCCAGGGCAGCTAGAGAGGGATGGAGGGCCAATTGTGGCCCACAGTCTCGAGGTTGCACTCCCCCAGATTCCTGGCCTCCCAGCTCTGTGATGGTCCAAGGAAAAAAGAGTGTGCACAACTGCTAGAGAAAGACGCTGTGTGCTGCGCCACAGTCCTATCTGAGAGATTCCTGCTCTGAGCAGAGAAGGCTGGGCTAAGTGGGCGCCTTTTGGTCTGACCCAGCCAGAAGCCAGACCCTCTTTTGTGTTCCTCAGCACCCTTTGCAGCCTCCTCATTGCTGCCCCCACAACCAGGTGCCCACCAGCTGGCCAAAGACAGAGGAAGAGTCAAAGGGGGTGAAGCATGCTGAGGAAACAGCCCTGATTTCTGCTTCAGGGATGGGAGAAGAAAGAGGAGCCCCATCCCCACAACACAACACAAAAAACCCCAGCCCTCTCACCTCTCGCAGGAAGGCAGCTGAAGTGGGCGAGCCCTGTTCCGCTCAGTGCTATTGCTATGGACTGGGTAGAGACCCCCGATGATGAAGTCCCCTGGCAGGTTAAAGAGGGCCTGGCAAGAGCTGTTGGCAGCAGCCATGTGCCCCACCAGGAAGGCAGCCAGGACAAGCCCCACAGACATGATGGAGAGAAAAGCAGCTCGCTGCCTCTCCCTCCTCGGGGCAGGCCGGTGGCATGGGGCGGGCAGGGGCTTGGAGGAGGCTCACACGCTTCTGCCGACACCTGGCTTTGCCACTGCTACCTGCCCCTCTCTGCACGTCGCCCACGGGTGCCTCTTCTCCTGCTCTTCGGAGGAGGAGGCCCATTTGCTTGCTTAGAAAGTGTTTTACATGCAGCTGAGACTGCTTTGCTTAATGGTGCCAGCTGGGAGTGGGAGTGGTGAGGCAGGGGCGGGAGGCCCAACCAACCCAACCTCTCGGAGGGAGAGGGGCAGGCAGGCATGTTGGTTATATCCAAGGCAACACGATGACCAAGTACAACAATGCAAAATAATAATAATAATAATAATAATAATAATAATAATAATAATAGTAGTAGTAGTAGTAGTGGTAGTAGTAGTAGTAATTTATTTATACCCCACACATCTGGCTGAGTTTCCCCAGCCACTCTGGGCGGGTCCCAATTGAGTGTTAAAAACAATACAGCATTAAATATTAAAAACTTCCCTAAACAGGGCTGCCTTCAGATGTCTTTAGGATAGCTGCTTATTTCCTTCACATCTGAAGGGAGGGTGTTCCACAGGGTGGGTGCCACTACCGAGAAGGCCCTCTGTCTGGTTCCCTGTAACCTCACTTCTCGCAATGAGGGAACCGCCAGAAGACCTTCGGCACTGGATCTCAGTGTCCGGGCTGAATGATGGGGGTGGAGATGCTCCTTCAGGTATACAGGACCGAGGCCGTTTAGGGCTTTAAAGGTCAGCACCAATACTTTGAATTGTGCTTGGAAACGTACTGGGAGCCAATGCAGATCTCTCAGGACCAGTGTTATGTGGTCCCGGCGATTCTGAGAGAGTACTGCAGGGAATACATAGATGGTTGAGACATTTTTCATGTTGACTACACACAAATGACTTCTAGGCTTAATTTTCATATTCACTATTTATAGATGTTTAAGAGAAAGAAAGCAGCTTTGGATCAATGCAGTTAGTTGCGTGCCTAAAATCCAGAAGGGACGCCTCAATTGTTTGAGATGCCATCCAACATAAAAACAGACACACACTTGTCCACAGCAGGGGTACGACTGCCCCCCCCAAATGAAGGAAAACATGCAAAAACCAACAAAAACACAATTCTTCCACGCACCCTAACTTGAACTTAAGGATTTTAATAGCATGCATAACACCTGAGTTGAATTGATGCTGAATCGAGTCTACTTTTGGCTAAGTGTTCCAAAGCATTGATTTATCCTATAACAAAATTTATATACCACTTGGTTGTTTAAAAAAACCCTAGCAGCAAACCTGTAAATTATTTACAAAAACAGTCAAATGCCTTGTCCTAGGGGCACCTTACAGTGGGTATACCCCTTCGTAGATCACCCCTACTGAACTTCAGGGTCAGTTTGAAAACACCAACAGAGAGTTTTGTAAAATAATTCTGCTGCCCTGGGTAGATGGTCCTGAAGTGTGAAGGAACAGCCCCCTCCCCAGATTCTCCTGCAGTTTGACTTTACTCCTCTTCACCCTCCTGCTTCCTACTGTACCAGGAATGGGGACCTGCCCAATATTGTGTGAGCCCCCAGTTTCCATCAGCCCCAGCAGACCATGTGGCCAAGAGTCAGGGAGGATGAGGACGACAAGCATAACTCCAGCTGCATCTAGAGGGCCCCCCCCAAGGCTTCCCTATCCCTGCCCTGATTCTGGAAAGAGGGTGTCTTGGGCGTTTGATCTTGCCTTCTGATGGTGGTGGAGGGAAGAGGAGCAGCTATCACTTTCTTACGTAGGATCCCTAATAAAGATTACACAGACAAGCGGCAGAGAGAGTTGCTTATGTGTGGACCAGTGCTCTTTGGCAGTAGCCAAGCAGCACCATCGACAATCCTGTTTTCATTGAACCTCTGCCCTAAAATCCATTGAAATTCTACACCGAATTCTCAGAAGCTTGGAATATATCAATGCAGCCTCGCTCTGTAGTTTCTGCTATTTGGCCCTCGGGTGCACAGACGTTCTCTGATTCCGAGCACCCGCCCTATGTTTACAACACAGGTGAAGTGTGCAGCCCCTGTCTCCAGGCTCCCCTGTTTCTTGTTGTAGCAGAAGTTTTCCCACGGTCCTTCCGGGCTTTCTCCTGTGGGAGAAGCGGGTGCTTCAGCCTTTTCCCCCACCCCAAGGAAGGCTTCTCACTGCTCGGCGTTTCTGACTGTGGCCGTGTAGGCTTGGATACAGGTCTGGAAATGGGCCACCGTGTTGAACTGCGGCCGGAAGAGGATCAGGTAGCATTTGGGCAGGAAGAAGGTGCAGAGGATGGCGTAGACGCTGGTCTGCACCGTGAACATCTGCAAGGCAGGGATCCCTTTGCCCTTCCCTTCGGTGGTGATGTAGATGAGCATGAAGCAGCCCCAGCCCATGAGGAAGACCAGCATGCTGGTGGTGAGGAGCCTCGCCTCGCTGTAATTCTTGGGCAGGTTGCGGCCCCAGAAGGCGAAGGCGAAGCAAGCGCCGCCCAGCAGGGTGATGTAGCCCAGCACCCCTCCTAGCCCCATGAAGTGGCCTTCTGAACATTGCAGGTAGACCTCCCTCTCGCTCACAAAATCCTCTTGCAATGTAGGCGGGGAGAAGCGGAGCCAGAGGAGGCAGATGAGGGCCTGCAGGCCACAGCTGAGGCCGACCGAGACGTAGGTGCCTTTGTACTTGACCCAGCACTTGGCGGCTCCGGGGGGCAGCTTGCAGGCCATTTTGAAGATGAAGATGATCTGGAAGGAGCGGACCAGGAGGCAGGAGACGCAGACGGTGAAGCTGATGGCGAACAAGGGCTGCCGGATCAGGCAGGTGACCTCAGTGGGCTTCCCGACGAACAGGCTGGTGGTGGTGCAGGAAGCCAGCAGCGAGGCCAGCATGACGAAAGCCAGCTTGCCCCCGGCCGCTTTGACCACTGGCGTTTGACGGTGGAGGGCAAAAACCAGCAAGCAGCCAAAGAGCAGGAAGAAGTCGACGATGGCCAGGATCACCAGGGCCAAGATGGCGGTGGTGGTGATGTCGAGATACGTGATGAGTGGGGGGAAGCAGGTGCTGCTCTTCAGAGGGGACCACATCCCCGGGGGGCACGGGATGCAAGTGTCTCCACCTGAAGAGGAGGAAAGGAGAAGCTCAGTCAGCAGCAGGACTGCTTAGAAGTAGAAGAAAGTGCCTTACACCAAGGCAGGCACCGACTAGCTCAGTGTTATTGTCTCTACATTGACTCTCCAGGACTTCCGTGCAGGGATCTCTCCCAGGCTAGGAAAGATATGTTGACAAGCTGGAACATGTGCAGAAAAGGGCAGCTCAGATGATCAAGGGTCTAGAAGCCAAGCCTTATGAGGAATGGTTGAAGAAGCTGGGTACAGTGGTACCTCGGGTTAAGAACTTAATTCGTTCTGGAGGTCTGTTCTTACCCTGAAACTGTTCTTAATCTGAAGCACCACTTTAGCTAATGGGGCCTCCCGCTGCCGCCGCGCCGCCGGAATGCGATTTCTGTTCTCATCCTGAAGCAAAGTTCTTAACCTGAGGTAATATTTCTGGGTTAAGCGGAGTCTGTAACCTGAAGCGTCTGTAACCTGAAGCGTATGTAACCAGAGGTACCACTGTATTGTTTAGCTAGAAAAGAGGAGACTGAGAGGAGATACAATGGTCATCCTCAAGTGTCCAAAGGGCTGTCACATGAGATTCCGACTAAGCATCAGGAAAAACTTTTGACAGGAAGAGCTGTTCGACCGTGGAACCATCTCCCATGGGAGGTTGTGGACTCTCCTTCCTTGGAGGTTTTTAAGCAGAGGTTGGATGCCCATCTGCTTTAGCTGAGATTCCTGCATTGCAGGGGGTTGGACTAGATGACCCTTGGGGTCCCTTCCAGCTCTACAGTTCTGCTTTTGAGCCCTGCCTTCCCATTGTGGACAGTGAAAAAGGCTTTGGCCAAGCCTCAGTCTCTGTGCAAAGTCTGGCGGCAGCAGCAGCAGCAGCAGCAGAAGAAGAAGAAGAAGAAGAAGAAATAATTAATTAATAATTATTTTTTAATCCCATGTTTCCCCCAGATGGTGTCTTATAGCTGGTGAGCTTTCTGGGGCTTTGCAGAGCCCCACACTCTGTGCAAAGCTCGGCATGGGCCTTTGCAAAGGTCGTGGAGTCACAGATAGAGACAATCGCTGGAGCCTGTGTTGCCATCTACAAAGAGCCCTTTGCCTGAGTCTCTGCTTGGGGGAGAGGGGAAAGGGGCAGAGGGTGAAGCTGTGTTGTGACTCAGAACAAAAACAATCCCTCCAGAGGACCCTCTGCCAGCTCATGAAGGGATAGAGGCAAAAGTGAACAGCAGTGGTCCTTTGCGCTCCTGTTCTAGACTGTTGTTCATTCGGAGGAATTGGCGCCATCACAAAAGACATCGTGAACGGGGATTTGAACCCAGAACCTTATCTGGCACTCTTAACTTCTACACCTTGGGACTCTTTCCTGCCTTAAGCCTCTGCCTACTTGGCACTGATGACCTCTGAGTCAAGGGAGGAAGCTAGAACTTGTCTAGCGCATAGCGGAGGCCAGTCTTCAGATTCACAAATGTGGCTCCCTGAGCCATGCGGTGTTTGAACTCACCTGTTTCGTTTTGATAGGTCCCTTCCAGGCAGTCGTCACAGCGACATAAACACTCGTCCAGCAATTGCTTGCTTCGGATTTGACCCACTTCACACACTGCTATGCAATATGATTTGGGGACCTAGAACAGGAGAGTTTGGTTAGGTGGAGGCATTTGAGTTGTTGGCGACTTGTGAAAGTCAGTCGGTAGTTCACCACACCGCACCCAGGGGTCATTAAAAAGGAATAACAAATCAGTCCGTCAATATCACAAGGCTTTTATGCAAATGTATGTTGAGAAAAATGTAGGATAATGTAGGATATTATATCAGAAAAATGTAGTGTACTGTTAAAACGGAAGGGGGTCAAACCATCACAAGGAGTGTTGAAATTTTGGGAGGTTGGATACTTACAATGGAATGGTCTCAGTGGTGGGGTACACATGTTTATTCTTATTTATTTATGATTATTACTTTGTCTAAATGAATGAAGATAAAAATGTAGGATATTGTAAAGCTGGAAAAGGTGTGAAGAGAGCAAGCTAAATTATCCAGGAGCTGCAGCAACGCCCTGGATAAGCAGCATGTGGAAGCAGCAATAGGAAGCTTCCCAGAAAGATCTCTTTGATCGCTATGAGAAACGGAATGCTGGAGCAGAAGGAGCCATTTGGGTCAGATCCAGATGGCTGCTCTTAGGTTCTTTTATGTCCAAGTAAGCCCCAATCTGTTCCCCAATCTGATGTCCTCCAGATGTTTGGAGTACAGCTCCCATCTTTTGTAAGATCTAGCTACTGACTCACGGTTGCGTGAATGAAAGGGTTAACCCGAGCTCAGGTTGCCAGTTGAGAAGGAGCTTAGCACCCCTTCTCTCTCTTTCCCCCTCTTTGTGCTTCCTGGAATAACTGAATCTCTCCAAAAAGGAGATTTTAAAGTCTGCGTCTTTGTTAACCTAAAGATTGCATGATTCTTTTCATATGGAAACCAAGTTCTTTTCTTTTGGGAGTCATCTGGAACCTTTTCTTTCTTATTTTTACTGCCAGTGGATAGAGACTTGTTTCTTGTAACTCCTGGAATCTCTGTGAGTAAAAGCTTCACTTATTTGGAAAGCTAAGTCCCTGTGATTTATTCTAGCCTGAGCATTTATGTGGGGAACATTTGTTTAAAGGTGGGCAGATGTAAATTGGAGCATCCGCCACTGTGCTTAGCTCTGCTATGAAGAGTAAGAATCTCTTCCAAACTTCTCTCTCCCAACATCTACCATCCCCATCCAGCATTGCCCGTGTTTTCCTTCTTTCTGGGTGTTTCGCCTGGTATCTTACCTGATCCCCTGGTGCTGGCCAACTGATTTCAGACTTGTTGATATTCAGGGCTTGGGAACTGTAGCTGCCGATCATCTTGAAAGTAGCCGTGCCATTTTCCCAGCTCCAGGTGACGACACTGTAGCCCAGGAACAGATCTCCCTCTTGGCCCAATGTGATGGTGTTGCCTTGCAGAGGAAAGTTCACCTTGTACAATGCTTCATAAAACTGAAATGAGAAGATAATTGCATCTTGGGGGTGCAGGGAGAGGGGTTTACTGTGCTTGTTGAAGGATGTGTGGGTAGCACAGCTAAACATTGGCCTGAGAGATGATGATCCCTGTTGTTTGCTTTATTTCAGCTGGAGGCAGGAGACAATGTCAGCCTTCTCCAGAGATTCACACTGAGCAGGATTTTCTAGAAAAATTATGTCAAGCATTCTGGGCATATTTAGTTAGAATTTAAATGCCAAGTTTCTTTCAATTACAATGCTACCTCGGGTTACAGATGCTTCGGGTTACAGACGCTTCAGGTTACAGACTCCGCTAACCCAGAAATATTACCTCGGGTTAAGAACTTTGCTTCAGGATGAGAACAGAAATCGTGCGGTGGCAGCGGGAGGCCCCATTAGCTAAAGTGGTACCTCAGGTTAAGAACGGTTTCAGGTTAAGAACGGATCTCCAGAACGAATTAAGTTCTTAACCCGAGGTACCACTGTACAACGATTTGCTGTTAAAATGCACGGTTCATGGCATTTATTTTTCATTTATTTAAATTAGTTAAAATTAATGAAAAGGTTAAAAGTGCCCTTTTGGCATTATCACTCTCTTGCTCCCCCATGAAAATTCCTTTTAAAAAAAAGAAAAGAAAGAATAAGCTCTGCTACAGACACTGCACCCACTCCTCTCCCGGGTGATGGGAGAGATCTGCTTCAAGTTTCTTCCCTTTCCTCCCACAACCTCAGGGCACCTGATCCTAAAGGCTGCTACTGCCTTTGACATCTGAATGCCACCTGCTTGCCTTGGGTTTCTGAGCCGAGTGAGCTGGGGAAACTGCTCTGACCACAGCCATTGCTGCAGAGGCGCTAGCTGACACCTATCGGATGCTATTAAGTCACACCACCAATAGATAACAACAACAACAACAACAAATTTTATTTACAGTGAGGGGGGAAAGTATTTGATCCCCTGCTAAATTTGCCCGTTTAACTCTAGCTGAAGGTTTGAGTAGCTACGCATCAGCCTCAAAATCTTACTGACTTGGAGAGGATCTGCAAAGAGGAGTGGGACAAAATACCTCCTGAGATGTGTGCAAACCTGGTGGCCACCGACAAGAAACGTCTGACCTCTGCAATTGCCAACAAGGGTTTTGCCACCAAGTACTAAGTCATCTTTCGCAAAGGGATCAAATACTTATTCCACTCATTATAATGCACACCATTCTCTGACTTTTGTCTTCTGGGTTTCTGGGGTTTGTCCTGCTGTTATTCTGTCTTTCACAGCTACTATAAACCTACCATTAAAATTACGGACTGGTCATTTCTCTGTCAGAGGGCAAACGGGCAAATTTAGCAGGAGATCAAATACTTTTCGCCCCTCACTGTATATCCCGTCCTCCCCGGCCAGAGCTGGGCTCAGGGCGGCTAACACCAATAAAATTTCAGTAAAAACATAATAAGAAAAAGGGGAAAAAACAATTAAAAAATTAAAAATAATACAACTAGATATGTTGCACATGGACACAGGAGGGAGGCGAGTGGCAAATGCGCTTTAGTCCCTTGGTGCCTCAAGCCGACTTCCTCCAGGCATTGAGGGTAAAGGACAGACGCTTCCTAGCCTGCCTTTGAACAAAGGGAGATATGGAGCAGCCTGATCCCAAATATACCAGATGTTTGGGAAGGAGCAAAGGAGCTGAAAGGAAAAACCCTGGGGAGAGGATGCTATTTATCAAAACAGCAGCAGCAGTGGTGGCCTGCTCCCCTGAACGTAGCTCTTACCTCCATGGGAGCATATTCACCCAGTGCTTTTCAAGCTGCACTGGCTCCCGGTGGAGTACAGGGTCAGATTTAAGGTGCTGCTTTTGACCTTTAAAGCCCTTCACGGCCTAGGACCCTCGTACCTACGGGACCGCCTCTCCTGGTATGCGCCACGGAGAGCCTCAAGGTCCATAAATAGCAACACCCTAGTGGTCCCGGGCCCTAAGGAAGTTAGATTAGCTTCAGCCAGAGCCAGGGCCTTTTCAACACTGGCTCCGGCCTGGTGGAACGCTCTGCCTCATGAGACCAGGGCCCTGCAGGATCTGATTTCTTTCCGCAGGGCCTGTAAGACAGAGTTGTTCCGCCTGGCCTTTGGCTTGGAACCAATTTGATTCCCTCCCTCCCTCTTTCTTTTTTCTTTTCCTTCTCCTCCTGCGATGAGGCTACATTTTAATGTTTCAATATTTTAATGTTGTATTTTAATGTTGTTTTTAAGTTGTAATCATTCAACTTGTTTTTATTATTGCTTGTAAGCCGCTCTGAGCCCGGCCTTGGCTGGGGAGGGCGGGGTATAAATAAAAATTATTATTATTATTATTATTACTACCTGTCGTGGCTTGAACTCCTTGCTTGCTGGACATCCTTGCAGGCTGCACCCCAGGTGGTTGTGGAGGGCCTCGGCCAGGATATAGACGGAAGCGTACGAATAGAAAGACCACTGCCAAACGGAACTGTTCAAAATGTTGGCTAAAGCGTCCGGAGAGAGCAGTTGGTTCTCATCGCAGGACTGGGAGCAAGCCTCCACCGTCGGGGCTTCAGAGAGCAAAGGGCCATCCGTCTTGTTTGACGGGAAGCGCTGTAGCGTTTTCTCAACAAAGTGTACAATTTGAGGCAGTTTGACTGGCTTGACGGTGAGTCCAAGCACAGTGCCTGTTTGCTCGATGTTCGGTATGGAAGCAATCGTGTCGGTTAAGATCCAGGACTCGGGTGCGATCCAGACTTTGCCTTTGATCTTCAGTTTGGTGACAGCGTGGAAGAACTTCCTGGTAATGGCCGCATTGGAAAGGACGACGACGACGTTGGTTCTGGCTTTCTCTATGTTCTCAATCACCCTCTGCAGCCGGCTTTCCAAGATGCGGAGATCGGCCGTCATCAGCCCCTGGTAGGAAATGCATATGCCCTTGGCTGCTGCCTTGGCAATCAAAGACTGAACTGTTTTCTCGCTGGCTTTGGTGCCACTGTCCACAGCGGAGATGTACTCCCAGCCGAAGGCCGAGATCAAGGAGATGAGCCCCGAGACCTGGTGGTCATTGCTGGGGATCGTACGGAAAAGCAGCGGAAAGAGCTTCTTGTCAGCAAAGATCTCTTCCTTGATACTGTATGAGACCTGGACAGGAGACAGGCACGTTTTTAAAAGCAGGAGGGCAATATGCAATGGTGTGTGCACAGCTCAGAGAGTGCCCAGAGCAGAGTGTGTTCTTACAGTGAGAGCCAGTGTGGTGTAGTGGTTAAAAGCGGTAGTCTCGTAATCTGGTGAACCGGGTTTGCGTCTCCGCTCCTCCACATGCAGCTGCTGGGTGACCTTGGGCCAGTCACACTTCTCTCTCAGCCCCACTCACCTCACAGAGTGTTTGTTGTGGGGGAGGAAGGGAAAGGAGATTGTTAGCCGCTTTGAGACTCCTTAAAGGGAGTGAAAGGCGGGATATCAAATCCAAACTCTTCTTCTTCTCTTCTTCTCTTCTTACCAGGTGCAGATGGAGGAAGTGGGGGAGCTCTCATTTATCGCATCCATTAGTCACCTAATACTTGCGACCAAGTTTAAAAACATTAACAACTACAGCCCCAAGGTGAAAGACTTCTGGGAGAAGATTTATAACGAATTGAAAAAAATGTTGAAATATACATTTATTAAGAAACCAGAGGCCTTTCTTCTTGGAATAACAGGTTTGGAATTGCCCAAAAAAGATGTTAAATTATTTTTGTACGCCACAACTGCAGCAAGAATTTTGTTAGCGAAGAATTGGAAAACACAAGAAATACCAACAGTGGAAGATTGGCAGATGAAGATGATGGACTTTTTAGAGCTGGCCAACCTGACTGGAAGAGTCTGCGACCAGAAGGAGGGGGAGTATCAGGAAGAATGGATGAAATTTAAAGACTATTTAGCTAAATATGTTAAGATAACTTAATTGGAAAAGCTTGCAAATAAATAGATAGGCTTAGGATTCAAATATGTAAAGATAAGTTTTAAGATGTTTAAAGTTAAATTAGAAAGAATGAAAGATGTTAAGTGACCAAGTTAATTTTTTGAAAAAATAGATTTTGGAAAACTGTTATAATGATATATAATGAAATTCAACCAAGGGGATTTGAGTCACTTAATAATGTTATCAAGATTTAAACAGGATGTATGTATGTCTGTTTGTCTGTTTTGAAATTTTGAAAATCAATTAAAAAATAAAAACAAAAACATTAACAACTACAACATGAGCAACCACTGGCCATTAAACAACGTATTAACAACATACACCTAGTTCTATGTGGTTGACACTGCCTGGCAGCAGGGAATGTTTCCTAGCCCTGCCTGGAGATGCCAGATGCAAGGGGGTTGTCAGGCTTCAAGGAATCTGTTTCCCCTCCCTCACGGCAGTCTGCCAGTAAGGGAAAGACAAGAAGCTCTTACCAATATCTTTTAGTCAATATTCACAGAGAGAGACATCGACAGCAGCGGAGCAAGCCGATTGGGCGCCTAGGGTGGCGCATGTGCCCTGCGTCCAAGGGCAGGACCAGCCGGGGCAGGACGCTCCATGGGGCCTCTGAGAAGTCTGCCTGCCTCCTCCCACTCAGCTGCCCTACAGCTGAGGGGGAGGTGGCGGGCGAACCGTTTGGGGCAGTGCGGAGTCTGCGGGCGCCCAAGCCACTGTGTCACTCCTGTGAAAGATGCATGGCTCAGGCATGCTGCAGGCCCCGCGATGGGTGCTGCCCAGCATTTTGTCACCCCCCTCAGTGCTGAAACCTGGGGTGACCCGCCCCCACCGCCCCCCCTTCCTCCGCCCCTGGACATAGAAATGCAGTCTCTCTTGGATAATGGCGTTGCTCTGAGTAAACCCCTCCATCTCTCCTATGATATGTCATCCCTACATTGGCTGATCTGTGCTTTCTGCCTCTGAGCTTTCTGTTTTACTTTCAATGCCCGCTGGGTCCTAGGAGGGGTGTGTGTGGAATGCTTTCTCAAGTCCCTGAGTCTGTCAACTGTCTCTCCCCTGGTGTTGCTTCTTTTCCCTGTTCCTCTCCCAATATTTCCCAGCTTCTCCCCTCTGCAGCCTCTGAACTGTGACCTTCTGCAAACCACTGTTCTAAATCTATACTGTCTCTCCCTCTTCTCTGGGAAGTGCAGGAGGAGGGGAGGGCAGTCTCCACCATTCCTCCTCAGTCCAGTCCCTGACAGGGGTTGAACTTGGGACCTTCTGCATGCAAGCGTTGTGGTAGTGGGGCTGTGCCCACTGAGCCATGGCCCTGACCGGCGGGCGCTGCCAACTCTCCCAAGCCGCCTACATCGCTGGGTGAGGCAGCTGCAGGCTCCTCTCAGCCACCTGCTGTGTTTGCTATTGTCTGTCATTTGGACATTTTACATGTAGTGCCCAAGTTACTTAGGGCTTTGTGAATGAATTAACATGAGAGCTTTGAACCTGTCCCAGCGGCATGCTGGCAACCAATATAGCCCTGGGACATCCTCTCCTGGGAGCAACCTGCCTGCCGCAGTCTGCGGAAGTCAAAGCTTCCAGACCAGTTCCACTTTACACATTCACCCAACTGGTGAGGGCCTAGCAAGGATTTGGCTGACTTAACTGCTGCCTTTGGGGTCTTCCTTCCCTCCCCCAACCTGGTTGCTTGGTGCCTGAGAATCCCTTGAGGTTCATTCCACAGCTTTTCTGGCAACAGTTAGTTCACATATACGCAAATATGGCTGACACCACAACGAACCAGACCATTTGTAGTCCCACCACTTCAGCAGAGCAGAGACGGCAACAGAGTCGGATGTTGAAACCATTTCTCAATAAGGCCACCGAGACTAATGCATAGCATCAATTTAGCAGCTCACCTGCGGAAGGCCGTAGTAGGTGAAGACTCTTGCTGTCAGCTGCGTCATTTCGGCTGAGTCGGGACCCACCACACCAATGACTCTCTGGGAACAGCCTCCTTGGTGCGAGCGGCACCACTGGTGTGGGGAGAGCTGGAAGGCGGCTTGCAGGTGAAGGCTTTCTTGACAGGTGTCCCATATGTGGTATCCCAAGGTGATGTTGGGGAGCAAAGTAGAAGAATTGTTGATTTCCTCAACAGCCAGCCTCATGGCTTGAAATTGAGCATAGCCCGAAGGGTTTAGACTGAGGAAATAAACGTGGAGCTCAATTAAGCCTGTAGAAATGGTACCTCAACACACACACATTTTGTGGGAATTTGTAACCCTACCAGAGAAGAATGGCAGATCAAGTTGATGGGTTATGCCGAAAGGGCTAAAATGACCGGAAGAATCAGAAATCAGGAAGACCAAAACTTTAATAAGGAATGGGGGAAATTTATAATTTATCTTAAAAACCATTGCAAACAGTTAAAATCATTAGTAGGATTGGAATAACACTTGTAGTTTAGCGGTGAATTTTGGAAACAATGGAGAGGTAAAAGATTTGGATTATTATAAAAGATGCAGGAGGAAATGATTAACAATAAGACCCACAAAGGGGAGGAGGGAAGTTTCAGAGATTCTTTGGAATCTGGTTTCAATGTTGTATGTTGGATATGTGACTGTAAAATTTTAATCTGAAAAACCAAATAAATTTATATATAAAAAAGTAGTTATTATTATTATAATTAATTTGATTTATATACTGCCCCTTATGCAAAGATCCCAGGGCAGTGTACAACATTAAGGACATAGTTTATGGAGCATAATGATAAAAAACATAATATGGAGCACAATTAAATAATCATAATAACAGTCCCAGCCCCCAGCCCAACACACATTTAACAAACCATAGATTATTTAACGGCCGATGGCCTGAATAGAGGAATGTTTTCGCCTGGCAAGCTCTCTGTGGAGAGCAGTCCACAGACAGGGAGCCACCACAGAAAAGGCCCGTTCTCGTCTTGCCACCCTCCAAGCCCTCTCATGGAGTGAGGGTATAGAGAAGGGCCTCAGATGACAAGTGCACATTCCAGCTGGGTTCATCTGAGGAGAGGCGGTCCTTCGAGGTGTGGAGGTCCCAAGCCGTGCAAGGGTTTGTAGGTCAAAACTAGTTATAAACAGACTCCAAGTTTACTTGCCAGCAGGCAGAGAGGGAGGGTGGCTGCAGAAGAGGTCTCCTAAAACGGGGAGAGGCATGCCCAGGGCAGCTAGAGAGGGATGGAGGGCCAATTGTGGCCCACAGTCTCGAGGTTGCACTTCTCCAGATTCCTGGCCTCCCAGCTCTGTGATGGTCCAAGGAAAAAAGAGTGTGCACAACTGCTAGAGAAAGACGCTGTGTGCTGCGCCACAGTCCTATCTGAGAGATTCCTGCTCTGAGCAGAGAAGGCTGGGCTAAGTGGGCGCCTTTTGGTCTGACCCAGCCAGAAGCCAGACCCTCTTTTGTGTTCCTCAGCACCCTTTGCAGCCTCCTCATTGCTGCCCCCACAACCAGGTGCCCACCAGCTGGCCAAAGACAGAGGAAGAGTCAAAGGGGGTGAAGCATGCTGAGGAAACAGCCCTGATTTCTGCTTCAGGGATGGGAGAAGAAAGAGGAGCCCCATCCCCACAACACAACACAAAAAAACCAGCCCTCTCACCTCTCGCAGGAAGGCAGCTGAAGTGGGCGAGCCCTGTTCCGCTCAGTGCTATTGCTATGGACTGGGTAGAGGCCCCCGATGATGAAGTCCCCTGGCAGGTTAAAGAGGGCCTGGCAAGAGCTGTTGGCAGCAGCCATGTGCCCCACCAGGAAGGCAGCCAGGACAAGCCCCACAGACATGATGGAGAGAAAAGCAGCTCGCTGCCTCTCCTCCTCGGGGCAGGCCGGTGGCATGGGGCGGGCAGGGGCTTGGAGGAGGCTCACACGCTTCTGCCGACACCTGGCTTTGCCACTGCTACCTGCCCCTCTCTGCACGTCGCCCACGGGTGCCTCTTCTCCTGCTCTTCGGAGGAGGAGGCCCATTTGCTTGCTTAGAAAGTGTTTTACATGCAGCTGAGACTGCTTTGCTTAATGGTGCCAGCTGGGAGTGGGAGTGGTGAGGCAGGGGCGGGAGGCCCAACCAACCCAACCTCTCGGAGGGAGAGGGGCAGGCAGGCATGTTGGTTATATCCAAGGCAACACGATGACCAAGTACAACAATGCAAAATAATAATAATAATAATAATAATAATAATAATAATAGTAGTAGTAGTAGTGGTAGTAGTAGTAGTAGTAATTTATTTATACCCCACACATCTGGCTGAGTTTCCCCAGCCACTCTGGGCGGGTCCCAATTGAGTGTTAAAAACAATACAGCATTAAATATTAAAAACTTCCCTAAACAGGGCTGCCTTCAGATGTCTTTCAAAGATAGGATAGCTGCTTATTTCCTTCACATCTGAAGGGAGGGTGTTCCACAGGGTGGGTGCCACTACCGAGAAGGCCCTCTGTCTGGTTCCCTGTAACCTCACTTCTCGCAATGAGGGAACCGCCAGAAGACCTTCGGCACTGGATCTCAGTGTCCGGGCTGAATGATGGGGGTGGAGATGCTCCTTCAGGTATACAGGACCGAGGCCGTTTAGGGCTTTAAAGGTCAGCACCAATACTTTGAATTGTGCTTGGAAACGTACTGGGAGCCAATGCAGATCTCTCAGGACCAGTGTTATGTGGTCCCGGCCATTCTGAGAGAGTACTGCAGGGAATACATAGATGGTTGAGACATTTTTCATGTTGACTACACACAAATGACTTCTAGGCTTAATTTTCATATTCACTATTTATAGATGTTTAAGAGAAAGAAAGCAGCTTTGGATCAATGCAGTTAGTTGCGTGCCTAAAATCCAGAAGGGACGCCTCAATTGTTTGAGATGCCATCCAACATAAAAACAGACACACACTTGTCCACAGCAGGGGTACGACTGCCCCCCAAATGAAGGAAAACATGCAAAAACCAACAAAAACACAATTCTTCCACGCACCCTAACTTGAACTTAAGGATTTTAATAGCATGCATAACACCTGAGTTGAATTGATGCTGAATCGAGTCTACTTTTGGCTAAGTGTTCCAAAGCATTGATTTATCCTATAACAAAATTTATATACCACTTGGTTGTTTAAAAAACCCTAGCAGCAAACCTGTAAATTATTTACAAAAACAGTCAAATGCCTTGTCCTAGGGGCACCTTACAGTGGGTATACCCCTTCGTAGATCACCCCTACTGAACTTCAGGGTCAGTTTGAAAACACCAACAGAGAGTTTTGTAAAATAATTCTGCTGCCCTGGGTAGATGGTCCTGAAGTGTGAAGGAACAGCCCCCTCCCCAGATTCTCCTGCAGTTTGACTTTACTCCTCTTCACCCTCCTGCTTCCTACTGTACCAGGAATGGGGACCTGCCCAATATTGTGTGAGCCCCCAGTTTCCATC